AAGTCCCGTCTCATATAGTGTCTGATGATATGGTAACAAGGTTTCCTTGGAAGTGCTGCAGGAAATGTCACTGGTGTCTCCCAACGCTGAACATGTTTCAGCCTAAGTATTCCCAAAGGGGGCCACAGGCATCCGTCTGTGCACAGGAACGGTGAGGAATGTCAGCCGGATGTAACTAAATGTTTCTGTCCACACATCAACACACACCCACCGTAAATCACACGAAGCCGGCTCGTAGTCTAAGAATCAGTCACAGTTATACTTCACTCAGTAATCAGCTGCTCATTGTAAAAATACGAAGTCACTGAGTTTGTTTTTAATAGTAATTAAATCAGTGAGTTTGTTTTTTATAGTAATTAAATCAGTGAGTTTGTTTTTGGGTCATTTCTGTGGTGATGCCCGACCGTCTGCATCCAGTAAGGCTGCTGGTCCTCCCCTCGGCTCTGACATGTTGGTTACATATTTGATAAGCAGGTTGTCTCTTTGCTCTAATTCAGTAATTAATGTTTGAAAAGAACCATTTTTCTTGGCCACTTTATTTCTCGTGTGTGAATTTGTCTGATTAAATTGTCACATTTGAGAAACCTTAACTTACATTTTCTTCTATGAAATATGAAGAATGAGCCAATTTCGAGGGTTGATTGCAGTCCTGCAGCGATCATTTGATTAACTGGCTAAATAACACCATTAAGGAAAACAATTACATGTTTTCTCTGCACCTCCTCGTGTGTGTTTGTAAAGCAATTAAAAAAGCACTTTGGCCTCTGCTCCATTTGCCAGAGCCTCCATTTAAATTAACCAGTGCGTCCAATTAGGAGCATGCGCTTCCTTTCCTGTGAGCGTCTCTAATGGCTGGATAGATTGATTTAAATGCAAACTAGAGGGAATTTAATGAACTGCTTTTACAGGAAGACTTTAATAGGAATCTGCACATCCTCCAACAGGTTCACACTCCATTAATTAGGCATTGTAGTATTTTTTCCTCAAACAGAGACAAATATTGCACCGTAAGCTGCAGATACTAAGACGTGTGCAGAGAAGCTTTCTGTTGTCATTTGATTCAGAAAGATATGCTGATGCTCTTCAGTTGAATTAGTCTGAGAGGCAAAGTAGCAGCGTTTATACTGATCGTGCCGTCACAGACTCACGTCATCGACGGGCACAGGGTGCGTACTGTAACTCAGCACAGTGGGACAGTCTCACGTCTGTCATTACCTGTTATTACTGTGATGGAGCAGATCTGTGGGCACCTGTGCAGTGACCGCCCATCAATCTAAGATCATCTGTTGGAACGACGCTGCTTTGGCTTCAAACAGCGTGGAGTCTTGGTGTGACCGATGTTCTAGATGTTTCCAGATGTTTCCAGATGTGTTCGAGTAAACAAATACCAGCTGATTGGTGCGTGTGTAAGCATTATGCCAGTGCTAACACAGCTGATATATTCATTAGTGGCTTTTCAACGTGGGCGTGGCCGGTGCTGTCGTAGTGTCACCAGGAGCTGAGAGAGATGAGAACAGATGTGAAATCTAGGAAAGTGCACGTTGCCATGACAACAGTGAAATAAATTCATGTAGACAGTCCTGCATCTCCCCGCTAACTAACAACAATCTGTTGTGGGTTTGTTTGTCTGTTGTTGTTTTTTCAGTTCATAAACTTGAGTTCTTCCAAAACCAGTTCAGCCAGTACGTGTGACGGACGTGACTCTGTCTGTCAGAGCTGTGTCAGCTGTGTAGGGCCTTGGTCAGGTGACTGACCTGACTGATGCTGTGGGTCATTCTTACTTTGTGAAATCGTATCCAATCACTTTCTTGTTGAGTTGAAGTAACACACCTTCGTCTTGGCTGTTGAGACGTTTGTATTAACCAAGGACACAATTTTAACGTCATCCACTTAATTTGTGTTTTGTGATTTTTTTTAATTTAATTCGGGTGTTGCTGAGCTGGCCAGCACGTTGCTTCTCTTTACTGTACCACACTGTTTATCTGACCTCTGTTGGCTTTACTTCCGCCTCTGTCAGTGCGCCCAGGGCAGCTGTGGCTACATGTAGCTGCCATCACCAGTGTGTGAATGTGTGGATGGGTGAATGTAGTGTAAAGCGCTTTGGGGTCCATAGGGACAAAGTAAAGCGCTATACAAATACAGGCCTTTTGACCATTTTTACCATTTTTCTCAGCCTAATGAGGACCTGCTTCTCTCACAGCTGTGCTCATGCTGAGCGTGAACAGCTACTGAAGGAGTTCAACACTCACAGCTGCTTAGAATCAGTCAGGCAGGTGAAGGGAACAGGCCTCACTTGCCGTCGTGTAGTTCTTGTTCAGTCTCTGACGGTGGGGGACTTTGCATAAAAATGGCAGTAATTCCTAAACAGCTGTGGTGGTGTACGGAGGCACAGCTACAACACCGAGTCCGACCACACTGTGGGCAAACCGAACACTTCCATGGCCTCACTAAACTCCCACTCTCGAGTCTTTGCCTCGGCAGCCACAAGGCTGTAATCCAGCTGGCCCACCTGTACCTGTCAGCCGGGGTTCAGCCCCCACAGGCCTACACGCCAACTAAGCTCTTGGTGGAGGTGGGACTTGGAGGTCGCTGTAAGAAACTGCCAGCACACTCTTATCAAACTCTTGGATCTACCAGGCCTGTGCAGCGTCTGTCCAGCTCACTATGAAGTGGGGTTCAGCTCCTCTTTTCACTGACGTGTCCGAGACGTCCGTAGATGACCGAGTCAGTCGTTACCCTGCAGCCCAGGACCGCAGCAGCCCAACAGCCTGGGCTCAATCCAAGAGCGCTCATGCCCAGGATGGAGGGATGTAACCTACAAACCTTTACATGTAAATACAGAACTTTACTATACGATGAAAAATAAGGTGCAGCTCTTCACACTGTCACTGTGTGTGTAGGTGTTTGGGTATATGTGGTCTCCATATAAAGGGATCTGTATCCAGATTACCGTCTACACACTTTTAAAATTGATTTATTTTGACGAGCATTCAGATCTGTCAGTGATCCGCCACACCAGATCAGGCTAATCAGAAAGCTATTGGCTATGCATTAGCCCGTGTCTCTAGACAATAAGTCATATTTGGAGAAGCAGAGAACAATAAAGTAATGATTTCTTGTTCAGCTCATGCTTTGCTTGGTTATTCTCTACATAGCTAACAGCTAATGGTTTTTGACAGGTTTTGTTTCACATGGTTCATATGAGACTTCCAGCTCAGCTTATCATCAGTTATCACTCCAACACATTTATTCTCGTTCACTCTTTCAGGTTCAGCTCAACCCTGATTTTAGCCACGTTTCATTTGTCTGGTGCCAAAAAGAATACATTTTGTTTTATATTTAACAATAACTTATAGTTACCTCCTGTTCCACTGCAGTCAGAAGCTGTTCTAGGTTTTTATCTGATTGATGCACAGTGGTATCATCAGCAAACAATACACATTTATATATAACATGAATCGTTTAGGGCCCAGCACAGAGCCCTGAGGAACACCACAGGTTACCTTCAGCTGATTAGATTTGCACGTATTGATCCAGGTAACTTTTCATGCACGTGTATGCGATCCCTCTTATACCATATCTGTCTAGTTCATTCAGTAATATAATATGATCAATGTTAAAGTGTATAAAACACCAGCAGTATGTCCCGCTCTGCCGTATTATCACTTATTATGTTTCTCAATATATTTACCACGTCTATTAACAGATCATTTTCCTAAGATTTCTGAGAACTGTGGAGTTATTGATCTGTAGTTGGTTGTGGGTAACCCTAACCCTCTCTGTGGCTTTCTCCATTTTGGAGGGAAACGTACCAGGTTACACATGTATGTGAAAGTTTGCACTATTCTACAATACGTTTAACTAATATCACGTCAATACTGAAACAATCAGTGGCCTTTTTAAAGTTGTCTTCAGAACATCAAGTATTCCTCTGTGACTCACAGCACCAATGAACTGAGTAATGTGTTTATTTAGCTCATTATTATTTCTCAACTCTTGAATTTCTTGTGCTACATTAAAGCCAACATGTCCAAAGAAATCATTCAGTTCATTTGCAGTGTCGTTAATTTTATGAAGCACAATCTTCATCTTTTCTAAGATATTCTGGAAGTCTTGTTTTTTTTGATTATACGATTTAATAACCTCCATGTTTGTTGTGATCCACTCCTGCTTTGCTCCAATAATGTGTGGTAGTACTTTTAATATTTACTAATCTATTTTTATATGACTTAATAAATCTCTTACATAGATTATTTCTGTTCATCTGTCGCCTTTGTGATCCGTGGCCTATTTGAGCCGTGATGCTTTTCAGTGATTTCCACTAAACGACGATGTTTGTCAAATACATTACAGACAAATGCACCATACGCACTATGAGGCTCTGCAGCAGTGGCTCGTGTCATGTTTGATTCTTTAGTTTTTCAGGTTTGCTGATGTTGCACTTCCTTTCGTTTTACTGGAGGAACATACATTTTATTATAGCACATGTTCTTGAAGGGGAGAAATGCATGATCATCTATAGAGGACCTTGTCCTGTTTTCAGATGTTGGTGACGACTCCGGAGAAGTGGGACGTTGTGACCAGGAAGAGTGTTGGCGATGTGGCTCTGTCACAGATTGTGCGGCTCCTCATCTTGGATGAAGTCCATCTATTGCATGAAGATCGAGGCCCGGTTCTTGAGAGTCTGGTGGCCCGGACCATCAGACAGGTGAGTGTTCCTCCTCGTTCCCCGTCCTCAGTTCATATTTCTCACTTCAATGTTTCAGATCATCAAACAAATTAAAATAGTCAAAGATAACACAAAGTGCAGTTTCTAAGTGAAGGTGTTTATTATCAAGGGGACAAAGTCCCAGACGTGATGGCCTGCTCTGTGGGAACGGTGGGATCTCTGAAAAGCTGAGCAGTTAGTCAGGGTGTGATTCTCTCTGAGAGTCGGGTCTTATTCGGAGCTTCTTCACTACCTAAGCGCTGTTTCCCATGTCAGGTCCTCCCTGATGTCTCGATGCACGCGCAATCATCCAGGTGAGGAAATCCTAAAATGTAGATTCTGTTCATCTGGATGTTTTCAGGGGTCTTTGTGGTGCTCAAGACCAAATTGTTGTTCCTACATCACGCTGTCAGCTGCTCCACCTCATCCCTGTAGGCGTGCTCATCCCTCCAGAAATGAGTACCACCGCCGTCTGCAAACTTAACAAAGGTGTTACTGTGGTGAGTGTGGAGCAGGGGGCTCCAGCCTGTGGGGGGCCAGTACTGAGTCTGGCCCCCCACAGTCGACTAGTCACGATTACGTCGACTATCAAAATCGTCGACGGCT